TGACAACAGAGGCTAGGGACACCATTCCTTACCCATCCTGGCTAATAGCCATTAATTGACTTAACCTCCATGACTTTATCCAGTTCTCTTTTAAACCCTGTTATAGTCCTAGCCTTCACAACCTCCTCAGGCAAGGAGTTCCACAGGTTGACTGTGCGCTGTGTGAAGAAGAACTTCCTTTTATTTGTTTTAAACCTGCTGCCCATTAATTTCATTTGGTGGCCCCTAGTTCTTATATTATGGGAACAAGTAAATAACTTTTCCTTATTCACTTTCTCCACACCACTTATGATTTTATGATTCTATATACCAGGGTGGAAGAAAGCTCAAACAGAATTCTGCACAACTACCCCAGAGTTTTACAGGGAAGGTGGGAAGACTCAGTTTAGATTGAAAAGATCTTCAAGATAACAGGAAGCACCATTAGAATAGTATGATTCTCATCCTGATTAGAAGAGACTGCAAGAATGACACAAGTCATCAGATTTGAATGCTCATAGCCTGATTGGAGGGAATTTGCTCATTATTACTATTTATCTCACAGTAGCACCAGAGAGAGACGCCTCAATCCAGCCAGGAGTCCTTCCTGCTAGGCACAGTACAAACATATAGAAAATGATTAACCTTGCCCCAAAACAGCTTACAGTCAAACCCAGATCCTCCAAAGACTTATGCATGTGCTGAAGCTTGTGCACTGGGAGTAGTTTCCTTGACGTCACTGCACTCTGCATGGGGAAAAAAATCTTTTCAGGATTGGGACCTCAATGCATCAGTCCTGCAAAGACTCTTTAAGCAGTGCATTTTAGTATGAAAGTCAGACTCTAGCCCTTGCCCCTGCCCATGGCAGAAGATAAATGACTGCTACGGGCTTCCCACATCTTTGAAGGGTTTTATTTAATGAAATCCAGCCCTCATTGCAACTATTTTTTGTTTATTAATGGCAAGTGCAAGTTTCTAAAAACGCAGCACCAAATACCATTTTGTCACATGCGTTTGAAATGATCTATGATTTTTATGACCAAATGAACATACCTTTCATGCAATTGATTTCTGTGTGA